TGGTCTTGGGGGTGCTGGTGGCCTTGGTGGTCTTGGTGGTCCAGTCTTGGTGGTCCAGTCTTGGTGGTCTCCGTGGTCTTGGTAGTCTTGGTGGTGATTGTGACGGTCTGCTCTTGGTGGTCTTCGTGGGTATGGTGGCCTTGGGTCCGGTGGTCCAGGCGATCTTGGTGGTCCTGGTGATTGTGGCAGTCTACTCTTGGTGGTCCTGGTGGTCTTGGTGGTGCAATTGGTCTTGGTGGTCCAGGCGGCCCTGGTGTTTTTGATTTGGTGGTGTGGCACCTCCCCATACAACCTGCAGCCCTGAAAGTAGTAAGAGTCCTTGATGAGTTCTACTTCCTGTGAGAGTGTTTGAAAAGCTAGATCGACCTAGTTGCTGGGCAGAAAGCATAAAGTTATGTCTCTACAAAAATCGGGTTCTGTAGGTCCCAAAAACTGTCTCGTTACAACATGGCCTCTCTGTAAGGGCCTCAAGCTCTCCCTTTTCGTAAAAGAAATGTCAACAGTGATTACATTTTAAATATACGGGGAACAAGTATTTTATACTACCTGCGGGGCCGATTGCTCTGGCCCGGCCAGACCCTTTAAATATACGGTGGGAACATTTTATACTACCTCCGGAGCCGATGGCTCTGGCCAGGCCACCATATATTTAAAAAGCGTTACCGTATATAGTTCGAGGTCATGTTATATCTAGTTCGAGATGGTGCTGCAATGTCTCCAGAAGGCCTCTAACAAAGAGGCCCATGCACCTCTTTAAAAAATATATATATTTATACTATATAGATGTCCGTGACTCAAAACCTCCTTCACCAAACCATGGTACGTTGACACCCCTGAGAAAGGAGTCGGTTCATTTTCAGAACAGGTGCTCCTGGGAGATGTTTTCGCGCAGAGCATGTACAAAAAAAATGTTTTACGGTGGCTTTGGGTTGAACCATTACCAAAACCTAAGTTTTGAGCTATTGTGTTTAGAGGGAATACCCAAAAACAAAAATACCCAACACAGGCAAAAAAACACATACACCAATAAAAACCAAATGTTTGAGACACAATGGGGGTACTATAAGATTTGGAATATTTTGGAATGTTGTGGTTCTCTTTGGTTTGCCTTCATTTTGTCTCAAACATTGGGTCAATTTATATATGTGGTTTTAAATGTAATTTGGTAGGTTTTTTGAGTGTTTTGGTATTTTGTGGTGTTCCTTCTAAACCTCAGCCGGTGTGGTCTGAACAGTCCCAAAAGGCTTTCTAATTGCTTGAGTAGGGCTATCTGTGTCGCGCTTAACTTTGTCTATCTGCTCAACGCGTTTAAAGTTGAGCACCAAAAGGAAGACGCTTCAACCTTCACAGTGATTTAAACATTGCCTTCTCAACAGCATTAACAATCAAACAAGGGAACACATTACTAAGTACTAAAGAAACTAATGAGCTTGACACAAGATCAGTTGACTTCAATCCAGGCAACAAAACATTTCTTTTGGTGTCCTGTCTCAATAAGTGTTTCTATTGTTCCAGTGGTCCAGTAGGTTGCATGTGTCTTGCTTAAGGTGTTCTGCACATTCCAGTGCGCCTTAAAATTAGCACCAAAAAGGAAGGCTACTTCAATCTCCACGAGGCATTTTTCTTGGTCAAGCTGTTTTGTTTGGCTTAGCTCTTTCCAAGAAGGCAAGGAACCAAACTAGGCACAAGACTAAGAAGCTTGATTGATTTCTCTGTCAGACTTGCAAAAAACGATATATAAAATCTATTTTTGGTTGGAGTGTCATGGTTCTTGTGTCTCTTGTTTTGCCTGTGAGTGAGTGTGCTTGCGGCTCAACTTTTGCTACGGGGCTAGCAGGCCCTGCAAGCGACGAAACTAGTGCAAAGTGCTTCATCCCAGCAGCACCACTACTACTCCCATTTCAACTAAGCTGGGCTTTAACAGGGGGTTACTACAAAGGCCTCTCGCTTTGAACTATTGTAGGAGGGCCTTCCCTATCTTTTCGGACTTTCTGAGGTGATGGCGCAACCTTCGCCCTTCAATTTCAACAATCCACGACTGATTGCCTAGAGCTCGACAAAGTTCTATCCAAATCCCAGAAGCTGGTCTGCCCTGTGACAGTGTGGTAGAACCACTTCGCCGGCTCCACGACCACCTTCGCCCACCCAGGTGGGAAGGGCGGCTTGGCCTGGCTGTGAGACCTTGTACACGTAGGATCCGGCTGGGTGGTCGGGGAACCCTCAAAAAAAAATTGCGCTCAGGCCCTCCACTTTCTGTCTACTTTTCTCTTCACGGGCCCATGAGGTCACCTATTCCACCCCAATCATAGGAAACCAAACAGGCCAGGGCCAGATGGACCTGGGCAATTTCACTTGAGAGGGTGCACTGTGGCAGAAAAACTCTGAAAACGGAGTCGTGAACGTCTAGACTTGCTTTGATATTGCTATGCCTTAAATGTTTCTTCGACCGTTTAATGTTGCAGGTGAGACACGTCCACCCTTCCGGAAGGTGGAACTTCCAAATGTTTTTCCCGGTGGTGGTGCTGGGTGCTCCAAGGCAAAGGGGGCCCGTTTAATCATTGAAACAAAGAGCGCCCAGCAGTCTCCAATCTACCAGGCGTCTCGGCAAACTTGTAGCCAGCGTGAAGAGCGGCGTCAGGCATGGGGCACTGCCTCCTCTGCCAGCCGGCCGCCCTATATACCACTGGCGGAGCACCGGCCTCCGCAAAGCGGGGTCCGGTGGGAACACGACGGAGCGAAGAGCGAGAACGAGAGACGAGAACGAGGGGAAGCGAAGCGACCGAGCGGAGCGAAGAGGAAAAAGAGAAACCGATAAAACCACCGACCAACCGTCCAGAAGCGCCGGAGCACACCCAAGGGACCGAAAACACGAAGCGATGATGCGCTTGGCGGACAGACAACGATGGCCGGAGCCACGCGCGAACCCCTTCTCCGGTTAGATATGAATTGAGTGAAGCGCAGGCCGGAGCCATGGCTATCCCCTTCTTGCTCACCCCTTCTTCGATCGCATGAGGTGAGTGAAGCGTAGGCCGGAGCCGTGGCTACCCCCTTCTTCGGTCAGTTCTGAGTCCGAGGGCGCGGAGCCCTGTGCTCACCCCTTCTTCGATCAGTTCTGAGTTGAAAGAGCCTGAGGACCGGAGCCCCGCGCAATGAAATTAAACATATACATTAAAGTCAAAATACAAAAACGGCCGCGCAGAGCGGCGGAAAAGAGAAACCGTGCCTGCGTTGGAGTCTGCTACAGATGCTGCTGCTGCCTCAGGCGCGACCGGCTTCTTCCTTTACTACTACTACTATTCCTCCTACTACTACTCCTGCTGCTGCTGCTACAACAACAACAACTACTACTGCTGCTGCTGCTACTACTATTACAACAACAACAACAACAACAACTACTACTACTACTACTACTACTACTACTACTACTACTACTAGTGCTACTGCTAGTGCTACTGCTACTGCTACAACAACAACAACTACTGCTGCTACTACTACTACTGCCACTACAACTACTACTGCCACTACTACTACTACTACTACTACTACTACTACTAACTACTACTACTACTACTACTACTACTACTACTACTACTACTACTAC